TGGGTAACCCAACCTTTCTCTCTGGCTGCCCTTAGTATTTTCTCCTTCATTTCAAGCCTGGTGAATCTGACGATTATGTGCCTTAGGGTTGCTCTTCTTGACGAATATCTTTGTGGTGTTCTCTGTATTTCCTGGACTTGAATGTTTGCCTGCCTTGCTAGGTTGGGGAAGTTTTCCTGGATAATATCCTGAAGAGTATTTTCCAGCTTGGATTCATTCTCCTCGTCACATTTAGGTACGCCTATCATACGTAGATTAGGTCTTTTCACATAGTCCCACATTTCTTGGAGAATTTGTTCATTCCTTTTTACCCTTTTTTCTCCATTCTTGCCTTCCCATTTTATTTCATTGAGTTGATCTTCGACCTCTGATATCCTTTCTTCTGCTTGGTCAATTCAGCTGTTGATACTTCTGCATGCTTCATGAAGTTCTCGTGTTGTGTTTTTCAGCTCCATCAATTCACTTATATTCATTTCTCTTTTGTCCATTCTCGTTAGCATTTCGTCAAATCTTTTTTCAATGTTCTTAGTTTCTTTGCATTTGGTTAGAACATGTTCTTTAAGTTCACAGAAGTTTCTTACTACCCACCTTCTGAAGTCTGATTCTGTCATTTCATCACACTCATTCTCCATCCAACCTTGTTCCCTTGCTGGTGAGGAGTTGTGATCCCTTTTAGGAGGAGAGGTGTTCTGGTTTCAGGTGGTTTCATCCTTTTTGCGCTGGTGTCTTCCCATCTTTAAGGATTTATCCACCTGTCGACTTTGTAGTTGCTGGCTTTCAGATTGGGTCTCAAATCCTTCAGTTTGACTTTCTGTTTGTTGATGATGAGGCTATTTCTGTTTCTTGGTTTTCCTTCTGACAGCCTGGCCCCTCTGTTGTAGGTCTGCTGAGGTTCACTCCAGGGTCTGCTTGCCTGGGGTTCACCTGCAGCAGCTGCTGAACAGTAAGGGTTGTTACCAGTTTTCTTCTTCTGCTATCTTTGTCCCAGAAGGATACCCGCCTAGTGTCAATCTGATCTCTCTTTTATGAGGTGTCTCTTTGGATATATAGGTGTCAGGGAGCTGCTTGAGGAGACGGTCTTTTCTTTATAGGAGCTCAAATGGTGAGCTGTGATCTCTGTTGTTCATTCACAGCTGCTGGGCAGGTACATTTAGGTCTGCTACAGCAGAAGTCATAAACTGCTTTTTGTTCCCAGGTGCTCTGTCCCAGGGACTTAGGGCTTTATTTATGAGTTTCCGTTATGCTGCTGCCTTCTTTTTTTTTTTCCTTCAGACCTGCCGTGCCCAGCAAGGAGGCAGCCTAGTCACTGTCGGCCTATAGAGGCTTTGCTGAGCTACTGTGGGCTCCGCCCCGCTGCTGAGTGAACTTCCATGCAGTCCTGTTTATATGGGTGTAGTTGGAACTGCTTTGGCGATGGTGGCCCACCTCTGTTGAGGCGGAGTCTGTCTGCTGTGGCGGGTTGCCTTGGCAACGGCGGGCTGCCTCAGCACTGGCCGACTACCTCTGTCCTGGCGGGCTGCCTTGGTAATGGCGGACGCCCGTCCCCCACGAGCTGGACCATCCCAGGTTCAGCTGCGCTTGCTGTGAAAGTCTCAATCCAGAGTTTCTGGTTGCTGTTCTTTTGTGGGGGTGGGACCAGCTGAGCCTGATCGCCTGGCTCCCTGCCTCAGAGCCTTTTTTATGTTGGTGTTCCAGTCGCCTGTTGAAGAGGCGCCGGGGTCTGTGTGTTTTCCCCTGCGGCCACTCACTGCGCTGGCTTAAACAGCGGCACTGAGGTTTGTGGCACTTTTTTTTTTTTTTTTTTTTTGCTCTGGAATCTACTGTCCTGGTTCCCTGCTCAGTCCCCTTTTTAAACAGACGAATAGGCAACTTCCCGTGGCTCCAATCGCCAGCCAAAATGGCACCCGGACTGGTGTATTTTGTACGGAGAACTGCGGCTCCGGGGCGCCGACAAAGCAGCCGCGCGGGGCAAAGCAGCGGCTCCGGCCAGCACAGCCGCGCTGGCCGAAACAGCCGCGCTGGCGACCGTGGAGCTCCTCCACCTGGGAATTTCCTAGTCTATGGTCTATAAAAATGCGGCGTCCACTCACCCTCTGCGCTTTCACTGGGAGCTGCAATCCTGAGCTGTTCCTAAACGGCCATCTTGGATCTCAGTCGGTCACCCTGGGGTTTCTAACCACCCATGTAGGTGACATGTAAATGATCATTTTATTCTTCTCAAAGATTAAGGTTTCACAACCATGTGTCTTCAGACTGAAAGGCAGGACTTCTGTTGCCAGCTACTTCATGCCTGTTGTAAGCAGCTATTATGGCTCCTAAGAAGATTCTACGTCCTACTCCCCATGACTGTGATTACACAGCAAAAAGAATGTTGAAGATTTGATTAATGTTACTATTGAACTTAAAATAGGGAGACTATCCTGGATTACTGGGGTGAACCTGATGAAATCAGCCCAATGGAAGGGCAAGCGCTTAATAGCAGAAGCAGAAGAGGGGAAGTCAGAGTTGCAAGAGAAGAGAAAGCAAAAGGACCGAAATGCTGTTGGCTTGAAGATAGAGATGTAGTGAGCTTGGAAGAGAACCCCTAAGCCCAAGATAACAACCACAGGCCTGGCTGATACCTTGGCTTTAGCTCAGTGAGACCATAAGCAGAAAATCCAGCCATGCTACCCCAAACTTCTGACCTACAGAAACTGTGAGATAAATACGTGTTTTTTTTTTTAAAGCTACTAAACTTGTAATAATTTGTTACAGCAGCAAAGGAAGACTAATACAGTGCTAATACAGTGCTCAACTTGTACAGCCGTCTAATTGGGGCAAAAATACCTTGTCCTCCCAACCTTAGGGGGATATTATTAGGACAAAATTATATAAGGGACATTATGGATGCTTTGCAAAGTTTCAAGTCATGCAACTGTTATATATTCCAAAAGGAAAAAAATAATGTTTTGAAGCAATTGAATCGAAGCAATTAAGAGCTTCCAGCTCCTAACATTTCCCAGAAGAGCTGAGGGCTTAGAGCGCTGCTTCTTCTCCCTAGAGAAGCAGGGTAGCATAGGAGAAATCTGACAACCAGGGGCACAATCTGTTTCTCAGCTATGTGACCTTGAGCAAGTTATGTCACCTTTCTGAGCCTCATTAAAATGGGGGTAATCATCCTTAATGCTATTTAGAATCAAGATTATACTCAATTATTTTCAAAACGGTTCTCAGTGTACTTGGCCTTACCTGTTCCTCTGACCAGATGATAGGCTGTTAAGGCTCAAATGAAGCAATCAGCATGAAAGCGAAGCACCCAGATGGGAAACCTATCAGTCCTCCCCATTGTGCGCCCTGCCACTGGAAACAGGTGTCTTGATACTGGTGAGCACCCAAAAAGATAGTGTTGAAAAACCCTTGTGCTAGTAGGACTCTGAGCACCTGTTTTCTGCCCCTGGCTCTGGTGTTCAGCCTTAAGCAAGTCCCTTACCCTCCCTCAGTATGTTTCTCCATCACTTAATTGATTAGGTTATAGTCGGTGGTCTTTAACTAATGTGCATCAGAATCACCTGCAGATGAGTGGTAGCTGTGGGGAGCAGTAGTATTCCCTGTTTTATAAGCCCCTTTTGCCCCCTCAAAAGGCCCAAGTCAGAGGAGTTTATTTTACGAATCATTCAAAGTAAAGTTTATTTGGAATATATAAATTGATTTGTCAGTATGTGATACGAAGCAGCAGCTTGCTCAAAGCAGTTTGGATGCCTTGTTATACTTTAATTAAAATACTGGCCAATTTCAGGCTAGCGAACTAGAGTCATGCCCCTTTAGTTCCCTATGGTTTCCATTCATGTTGCTTTGCCATGACTGGGAACTTGCCTCCTGAATTACCCCTTCTTATGTAAAATGAAGATGTGAAACGGGCCAGAAAAAAGGCCAGTGGAGTTGCCCATGTTTTCATTACAATGTAGGCTGTGGTATAATTAACACCTTAAAATAACAGAATATCAAAGCTGAAAAGACCCTTTGAGAGTACCTGGTTTAAAGGCAGAGAATTTGAGGCCTAGAGAGGGAGAGGGATTTGCTCAATATTAACGGGAGGCAACAATAGAGCTGATTCTGGACCCTGAGGGCTTCTGAAACGGGCTCTTCCCATGGCCTCATGTTGTCTTTGCACTGCTTCTACTGCTCAGAGATTTGAAAGCCAAGTACTTTTCAGTCTTCTTATTCCCCGGGCTGGTTTCACTATTCTTTGAGGTGGAGAAACTTTGTCAGCAAAGCACATTTACAAAGGAATGCAAGAAGCAGGCAGCTATGGACTCAATCTTTGTAACAACTCCCAACATACCAGATCATACTTATCCACCATTTTTGGATTTTGTCTCACCAAAAGGACTCCTTCCTCAAGCTGCTTTGCTGTCTCAAATACCTCGTATCAGTGCCTCTCATATTTTAATGTGCATAGGAGTCTCTTGGGGATCTTGTGAAAGCACAGATTCTGATTCTAGATGCTGGAGTGGGTCCTGAGAATCTGCATTTCTAGTAGGCTCCCAGGTAATGCTTATGCCAAGACTAATGACAAACCACATTTTGAGTAGCAAGACTTGAGGATGTTTATCATTCCTGTTTCTAGGAATCTTCTCCATTTACCTTTGGGATTTTTCTTTACTACTGGGGACTGTGCGTTGTATTAGAAATGGACACGGGAAGGCCTCTGTAGTTTCCAGTTAACCTAGCTGTGTAATCTTGGACAAATTATTTCTCTGCTCCCTGAGCTTCAAGTTTCCTTATCTGTAAAATGGGCTTGTCACCTGAGGGACAATGATGTTGTGAAGCCTGAGGGAACTGTGAGGCCATTGTTCAAAGTAGACTGTAAATGGAGACTCTTAGGTGCAAAAGAACTCTTTACCTAGGTTTCCATAGATTTGTAGAAGTCAACACAAGCAGTAGGTAGTAGTGGTTCCATGTACCATCATGCCTGATATGCTCAAAGATTGTTTCCATGACAAAACTGGAGATGGAGGCCATTTATATTAGACAGTCTACATACTTTATTGAAAGTCACATGAATGAGCCCCAGGATCTCATTTGTTGTATTATTTTGATGTAGCATATGTCTTTCACACAGGCAATCTTTGTAGCCCTCTGCTAATGTCCTTGGCATCAAGTGCTCCATTTCCCCCAAGGAAAATGAAGGCTTTTCTTTATCAAAAACTTATCTTTCAGGTATCTTGATTCTCTCTGAAATTTTCTATGATTTCTGAGGTTTTTTTCTGGGCTTGTAATGTGTCCAGGCCACTTATCTGCAGCTACTTTAAAAGTAGTATAACTGATCTACGTTCTCTCAAAAGCAATTTTTTTCCTAGTCACAGAACTACTTCTTCTTTTACTACTTTATTTGCTCTAGTTATTATAGAATCAAAAAACTTCTTGAAAAAAGAATAGTTTCCCATGATAACCAATTACATTAGAAGTACTCTGCATGATGCTATTATTGAAATTAGATGCTGAGTTTTGCCCCTCAGTGGCTAAACGCCCCCAACTTTTTAAAAAATAAAAACTTCAAAAATAAAAATTCAATATTTCTTTTTGTAAGCCATCTCTTGATTTTGCTATCACTACAGAAAATTTGTAGAGATTTGACCCCAACACATCAAGTACTGCAGAGGCACCAATACCTTTTCTTCTTCTAAAATTGCATGTGTGGATGTCACCATTCTCTTAGGCTAAAACTGAAACTGCCCAGGCTACGAACTTGGTGAAGTACAGAGACACTTGTGAGGACCTTTTTACTTTTTGAAAAATGGCAAGTCAAGGATTTAACAATTACCAGCTAAAACACAAATCCTTCACTTCACAAAATAAAATTAGATGATCATCTTAAAAACATTACCAAACGGGTAAGCTAAATAAGAGAAAGCCTAGCTCAGGGATATCTTCCAGCCCAGTTTGCATTCCCCTATAAACTGAACCTGCATCCCCTCCCTCCTTCAAATGATAGCCTTTCAATATTTTGTCAGGCAGACAAGAGTCATGCCAACTCTGGCAATGTGGCCTCTGCTCAAACACCTACACAGTGTGGCAAAGGGAAAACAGCATGGGCTAAGAGAGAGGCCTGGATACAAATCACAATTCTTTTATTTACATTCGATGTGCCCTTGAGTTGGTTACTTTAGCCCCCTGGGCCATAATTTCTTTCTCTGTAAAATGAGAGGAATATTTTGCATGTATATGAAACAATGAGCACTTAATAAATATGTGCTTAATAAATGTTAGGTTCTCTGTTATCCCTGCCAGTTCATCACTTTCAGTTCATGCATTGCTAGTTTCTGTAACCTGCTGGCCAAGGTCCGTTGATAATTTCCTATAGCTGCCACTCTTCTATTATCACCCTCTTCCCATCGCCTCTACAAAATGACTACCCATCTGTCATGCCTAGGCCAAGCCAGTCTTATTCCATGATAGCATGCCTCGCCACAGAAGCTTTTTGCACTTTAGGTCAGAGTGCCAAAGGGAGGCGCTGAGATTCACTCTTTGGCATTCTTAAGGTATAGACCAGAGCAAGGGCAGAGCTACTCAGCCACTGCTCCCTGGCCTCCAGGCAGACTGGTAGTCCCCAGCTCTCCAAGATAGGCCCTTCATCTGTGTCCCAGGCAACACACAGCCATCTCATGACATTTCTGGGACTTATCTTCCAATGGGATCACAGCAGTTTTCTAGGGCTGTCAATAATCTTCCAATGTTTGTATTGGTGATTGTGGTATTTTCCCCCAAGAAAACCAGAGTCAAACCATGTCTCTTTAAAGGGACTGAGGCCCTGCTAACCCTGCTTTTGTGGCCAAAATCTGCACACCTGTCTGCTTTATTCAGGATACAGGAGGGAGGCCACAGCCCTGAGACTGTGGGCTCATAAAGTACTCCTAGGTGAGGCCAGTAAGGCGTCACAGAGACTCCTGTCGGGGGCAAGCAGGAAGTGAAATGATTGTTAGTTATTTGGCTCTTTGACTCCCGGTTTCTTAGGAACCTGGCCCTTGAGACTGGGTATAGTGGAGAGGGTTCAATGGGGCCACTTGAACATGCCTTGATTTAGAATAGCATCAAGATTCCACTCAATTACTTTCAAAAAGGCTCTCGGTGTACTTGGCCTTACATGTTCCTAATTCACCAATAAACTATGTTTGGAATTCAGTCTTGAAAATGACTACTGCTCTCGGTAACTGTTCCAAATGCATCTCAGAGTGGGTTTACGCAGGAGTGTGCATGCGCTCACTATCTCTTTATCTAGGCTTCTCTCTCAGCACTATAATCAGTGCACTAGCAGGGCCCTGGTAGAAGAGTGCAAGTAGGAAAGCTCCTTCCCTCACACTGGGCAACATTATAATTATACAGACTCTACAGACAAGCTACAGCCCAGGCGCCTGCATAGAAACAGGTACTGATGCTCTTTCCAGCAGCTTCCCTTCAACAAACAGAAATTGGAAATGTCCATTCCTCAGATTATGCCCCATTACACCAATTTTTAGTTTCTTTCCAATAACAGAGAAAGTAAATGAAAGGGACCAGGGGCTTACGTCTTAACGTTTTTCACTTGGTGGCAAATACTCAAGAAATAATGGCCACTAAAGCCACAAACCACAAAGTCCCTTGCTAGGTATATGTGATATAATGAAAAGAACCTTGCATAGGAGCCCAGGGACCTGAGATCTTGTCCTGGTGTGATCACTACCTTGCTCTGCCTCAGTTCCCTCAACTGGAAACTGGGCAGTTAGATTAAATGATTTTGAAAAACCCTTCCAGTCAAGGGCTTATATGGGTTGTAAAAAGAGTCTTTTACTCAAGGGCTGTGGTTCTGAACTTTTTTTGGGTCATAAGCCCATTTGAAATTTAGTAGAACATTATGGACCATCTTCTCAGAAAAGGCATGGTGTCATGGAATTGTGCGTACTACCTCAGGGGCATCATGGAGTTTTTGAGTTCATGAACAGTGAGTTAAGAACTGCTCCTTTCAGGAGATAAAAGTGTTTATCTGCAGAAGGCAAACATGAAGCAACAGTAACAGCTACCTGGCCTCAATCCACCTTAACAATTTTTCTAGCATTTGACCCCAACATAGAACTCCTGCAGGACGAAGCCCAGTCTCCTTTTTTAAAGAAATGTATTCAGCTTTTGTTTGTTTCTTGATTGCTTATAAGGGAAGCTGTCAAGAAAAAACAGCAGAAAGATTAATCCAAATAGACCTGGGCTCTGACATGCAAAACATGCTTTGCAGATTTGTCCTAAATGGCTGTATGGAAGAGCAGGAAGGCCACCTTCCTAAGTCCACATGGAGAGGCTGTGGGGGCATCACTCAGGCTGTCTGGCCCCGCAGAAGCAGACAGGCTCTTGACAACATACTGCAGCACTAGAGCGCCGACCTGACACCAGTGTCCATATCCTCAGTAGGAGACATGTTGAGATTCTCCAATGTTCAGCAAACATTCCTACTCCCCTCCAAACAAGGTAAGCAAGGGCCCCAACTCAAGTGGCCTTCAGTTCAAGGTAAGACCCCTGAGATCAGTCTTCAGCCCCAAGTCTCTCAAAGTTCAACGGCCCTCTCAGAAAGCAGGAAGTTCAGGGAAGAGTTGAAAACTGAGCTGCCCTCTTCGACTCAGGTAAGTGGATATCTTGGTTTCGGTGGAGTCTGGCTTGAGGCAGTCCAGCTCTTCACAGTGTTACAGGAACGCAAAATAGACCTCTGAGGGGATAAAGACTGAATACAAAGGAGACATAAACACCTGTCTAGGACATATGCGCCTTATTTTATGGCCTCCCAGAAAGAGCCTGAAAGTGCAAGGCCAGGAAGGAGCTGCTCTTCAACACAAAATGACTCTGCACACAAAGGTTTGAAGAAGAAAGACCCTTTCAGAACCTGGAGAAGGTCCTCTGAGGCCAAGGCTTTTAAAACCTGAAAGAGAAAGAAGAGAGTGGGGGATTAGCAAGGACTGGAAGAGAGTAGGGAATTAGCAAGTACCTAACTGCCACTGATTAGTGGGGCCTCTCTTGGTAGGTAGCTAAGCCTATAATTAGTAGCTCATCTTCTGAGCAACAGCAGATTGCTGGGCAAAGGCTCTTACAAGTCAGATCTCATGAAACAGGCCTAAGATGGTGTTATGACCAGGGATGGACACTTTGTGCCTTTGACCTCAACTCGAATTCCCCAGAATGTACCTGGAGAAATAGAAGCCTGATACTAGAACCTCTGAGATTACTACCCACTGCCTCTATGGCTGTACAATAACTACAAACTTCCTTACAGGGATTTTACCTCCATAGGGGCTGATAAGGAGAAGCTTATCCACCGATAAACCTCTGAGGACTGGCAGTGACAGGGGAAAAAAAGGTTAGGGAGCACGTGGAAAGCCAAGCTCCAGATACTTGGATCTCATTTATGTGTGTATCAGATCACATCAGGCCAGCAATCTGAGAGTCAAACAATCAGAACTCCTACGGTACAGAAAGGAATTTTCCTGACCTCTGGGTCTCCCGTGACCTTTGCAAGTCTCTTATCCCCTCTGAACTTCAGTTCCTTTATTTGTTGAGTTGGAACACATATTATCCTCCCTTCTCCTGGCATGTGATACGGATCAAATAAAATAATGAATGTGAAAGTGCTTTGCATTGGACAAACATAAAGGACTAAGAATGAAGGTTCAGGTGGGTAAGACTAAAATAATTATTTGGTCTGCAGGAATGAATCCATCTACAGATACTAAGGTAGCCTCTTGGTACCTTTTATAATATCAAAAAGGAGGTTACTGGTTTCCTTAAAGACCCAAGAGGTGTCAGAGTTAGAAGGTTGCAACCTTCTCATTTTACAAACTGGGAAACTGAGGCTCAGAGAAGAAAATGTACTTTCCCAAAATGTCACAGCCTAGGATTCTTATAAATTTGATTCAAAGGCAATCTGTAACAACGCACTATAGTTTGGCTAGGAGAAAAGAAACAAGAGAGGAAGGTGACTTCAAGTCACACAAAACCTTGGAATTGAAAGGCACTAAATGTAAGGGTCATGCAGTGACAGGGTAATGTACTGAGGCACAGAGATGAGTTCCCACCCTTCTGATCTACATGTTATTCCAGTCCTCACAATATCAGATCCCGCAATGAAGGCTTATGCGGAACAAGGTTCTGTAATCAGGGACGGGGACTACATACCTGTAGCCTCAACTTTCATCTCCAGGAAGTCTGCCTTGAGAACTGTGGATAAAGAAAGACATTTCACTAAGATTCTAGAAATCAGGACTGGAAAGGCAAATTGAGAGAGTGAGGGAAACTTCCAAGACAGTGCTTAAGAGGCCATTTTAAAAATGCAGAAGTGATTCAGCCCAGATGTTTCAAATCATCTAGCTCCATGCCTATAGTTGGGGCTCCTTCTCTGGCAGACTTAAAGAGCCCAGAATTCCAGATGTGAAAACATCTTTCAAGTGCCAGAACAATTCTCTGAGTTCCAGACTATGGGAAGATTGGAGAACTCAGGGAAGCTTGGAGAACCCAGAGAAGTAGGCTCCAGACCACAGACTACATTCTGTGATGATCTCTAACAGTGATAACGGAGAGGACACAGACAAGTACCATGTTAAAGGTGAATCCTCCTTTGCCTAGAAGAACCAACCAACTTTGTGCAGCCTCTTGCTGTAACTGGATTAGTTCTAAATTACCCTTGTCTGAGGACAGCTTGGAGAAGAGAAAATCTTGGCAAATTAAACCCACCATATTGTGGCCAGAGCATTGCGTACAACAGCTGGTCCCCAGGGCTATGTCCCCAGTCTTCCGTTTTTCTCTTCTCTCCAGTCTGTTTACACTTACTCCTTGGATCTTATTCCCATCAATGGTTTCAGTTGCCACCAAATACTAGGGACCTCCCTGCAATGGGCTACTATTCACATTGTAGCATATGTGAATGGCCCCCCTCCTCAGACTTCTATAGTGGCTATAATCACAGTTCTACCTCAAAATCTATGTATATGTATGTCCAGCTCTAACTACTGGCCTAAGTTCCAGTTACCCATCGAACATCTCTACCCAAGTCTCAAAGTGTCTTTTTAAATTTTTTATCAATTTAACAACTGTATCTTCAAAACCACTATGTCCAAAATTGAGCACAGAACCTTTCCCATAAAACCTGCTTCTCCATGATTAATTACTGTACCATCTACTTAAGTACCCAAGTTAGACTTTTCTGTTTCTCAGTTCATCAATGTTCCATGTTTGAAATCTTAGCAAGATCTTATCGAGCCTTTCTCAAATCTGTCTTTTCTATTCCATTCCCATTGGGAATGCCATAGTCCAGGGCTCCCTGACTCTTGCCAGGACAATTAGTCTCCTTAACTGGTCTCCAGTCTTTACTCTCTCATCTATCTTTCCCACCACTAAAGTGATCTTTTTACAATTTGGTCAGCTCAGAATGTGCACTGTCATGCTTAAAATTCTTCTACCGTTGCTATGGCTCCTCTGCATATGGACTGCAGTATAAAGACCAAGCACCTTAGTATGTTATACAATTTTCATGATCTGGCTCTAATCCATCTTTCCGGCCTCACCTTCAGCTAAGCTTCCCTCTTTTCACTCCCACATTCTAGCCAAAGTGGAACACTAATCACTTCTGAAACCATAAGCAGTTGGGCCTCTTTGAAATGTCCTCCCCTCTTTTCTTTTCTTGATGTGTCACTACTCATTTTCTTTAGAGTTATTTTTGTTTTAATTGTGTAAGGGAAATGAGTAAGGGAGTGATGTCATTCAAATGCTAGGCTATAATCAGGTATCCAAATAGGGACCAAAAATGGGCAAGATAAAGGTTAAAAAGATCATTATTTTCATTAGAGATGAGAGAAGAACTTAGCAACAATGGCCATAGATGGGACTGACTGTGTGACTGGTCTGAGGATCTTGATCAGAGGCCAGCCTATGGAAGCACTGCTGCAAGTGGTGGTTATAAGGTGGAGGCCTAGATGGAAGGGATGCTTTCCCTATGTGGATGCTGAGTGGGAGGAGCCTCTGGGTACCCAGGACAGTAACACATGACCTAATGGAGAGCAGTGTACCTACTTTGGTCTTACCTACATTCCTGCCAAAATGGAATCTAGGAATAAAGAACAGGATTAAATCGAGGTTCTAGAAGCCCATAGTGTGGGTAGAGTGATACACTAGCCTGAAGTGCCTGCTTTGGCCATAGTCCTTGTAGTTTGCGGTTGATCTAAGGCTTCCTTGAGCACTGGCTGACAGCCCATTGGTAGTGGCTACCAATCTTTTCACGCTCTCAAGACCAGTTTGGTTATAGCTTCCCTATTGTAAGTCTATCTGCCTTAAAAATTCTATTGGACTTTGCTCATGGTTCTTACATATTGCCTTCTCAATGCCTTTGTTTCTTGTCCAAGCTTGCAGATCAATACCCTCCCCCAACATTTTCCTGTCTAGTTCTATTCTTTTCTCAAGCCCCAGCTCATATATCACCTTCTCTAAAAAGGTTTCCTGTAGACATATCCAGTTCATTCAAGTTTACATTGTTCTGCTTCCTTGCTATTTATTTCTCAAGTGGCTTTTTCTAGGGAGGGATAGGCCGCAATATTAAGAATATTTGAGACTCTCTTCTTCTCCCTTTTTAATTTCTTTTCTCAAGGGAGCTATTTGGTTAGGTTTACTTTTAAAAACTTCTGAAGTAAACCTAACCAAATAGCTCCCTTGAGAAAAGAAATTAAAAAGGGAGAAGAAGAGAGTCTCAAATATTCTTAATATTGCGGCCTATCCCTCCCTAGAAAAAGCCACTTGAGAAATAAATAGCAAGGAAGCAGAACAATATAAACTGGAATGAACTGACACAAGAGCAGAAAATCAAACACTGCATGTTCTCACCCATAGGCGGGTGTTGAGCAATGAGAACACATGGACACAGGGAGGGGAGCACTACACACTGGGTTCTGTTGGAGGGAAATAGGGGAGGGATGGTGGGGGGTGGGGAGGTGGGCAGAGATAGCATGGGGAGAAATACCAGATATAGGTGAAGGGGAGGAAGGCAGCAAATCACACTGCTATGTGTGTACCTATACAACAATCTTGTATGTTCTTCACATGTACCCCAAAACCTAAAATGCAATAAAATAAATTAAAAGAAAAAAAAAACAACTTCTGAGATAAATACTTTTATGTTCTTGCTATCAGCAAGAGAAATCTAGGGCCTTGATCTGACTTTCATCTGCTATGGTAGAATAAATGGTAAATGATTGCTTAAGGAGAATTTGGCCCAGCCTGAGGTTCCAGGTGGCTCACTGACAAGCAGAGCTAGAATGAACTGCTGTGTCCTGGTGAATCCATTCCCATAGTTTTGACTAGAGGATAGCAAATCCACCTCAACTCCACTGCTGGGAAAGGTATATTGTTCTGCTTTTAACTGATCACCTAGAAGGGTTCTGCTCCTGTCACCTGTTAGGAAGAAAGAACAATTTCAAACTCTCTGATAAGCAACAAGGAACAAACTCACAAAAGAGTCCCTGAAGGCTAACTAAATATTTCTCCAGATGTTCTAGACCAAAGGGTCCCAAATTCCAGGCCTTGGACAGTCTGTACCAGCACTTAAGAAGTTTTAATAAAAAACTAATAGAAAAGAAGAAAGGGAAGGAGGGAAAAAACAAAATAAAACAAAATATCAGACTCCCAGGTCCCACTCCTACAGATTCTGTTTCAGTGGGTCTAGAATGAAAGCCAGGAATATGTGACTTTTTTCTCCATGTTTTCCAGGTGACTTAGATGGACAGCCAGTTTGAGAACCATGGCCTAAGTCCAATGTATGCCCTTGAAATGGGGGCCCTAAGACTGTTTATGTTAGCATGTAATATTCTACATATCCCTGTCAGCTGCCCTTTGAATACATAAAGGAGCCTAAATAAGTAAGCTAACCAAAAATAGACCCACACTGGGTATAAAGTCTTTGAGATACTGCTTTGTGTATGTTCACATGCACACACACACACAAGCATGCACACACATATGTGCTTGTGAGAGAGAAAAAAGAGAGGAGCAAAGAGAGAGATGGAGAAATGGAGAGGCAAAGAGACAACAGATACAGAGACACAGGAAGAGAAAAACAGACATACAGAGTGATGCAAACACAGAAACAGATAAAGACAGAAATGGGAACACAGGCAGACAAACAGAGAGACAGAAAGAGATTGAGAATGACAGAGACATCTGCTGGGTGCAATGGCTCAGGCCTGTAATCCCAGCACTTTGGGAGGCTGAGGCTGAGGCTGATGGATCACCTTAGGTCAGGAGTTCGAGACCAGCCTGGCCAACATGGCAAAACCCTGCCTCTACTGAAAATACAAAAATTAGCTGGGCGTGATGGTGCGCATCTGTAGTCCCAGCTACTAGGGAAGTTGAGGCGGGAGGATCACTTGAACCTGAGAGGCGAAGGTTGCAGTGAGCCAAGAGGGTGCCACTGCACTCCAGCCTGGGCAACAGAGTCAGACTTTGTCTCAAGAGAAAAGGACAGAGACACCAAGTGAGAAAAAGAATATGAGAGAGACAAATAGACACACAGGTAAACAAGTAAGAGACAGATAAAGATGGAAAGACAGAGTTAGGGGAGCAAAAGTGACAAACGGAGAGACAGAGACAGCTGTAGAGAAACAAACAAAATGAATGCTCGAATGAGCACAAATGCATGCTAAGGATGCAGTTATTAAACGACAATTTGGTTTCTCTTTTGTCACTTCTATCTCTTACCTTCCTGTTTTCCGGGAAGCTGTTTCAAAAAACCTGGTCCTGGAAGCCACCCTGCAAACAGAAGCCAACCAAGTCCCATAAGTTGCTTTGGTGTATGTGTGAGAAACAATGGCCAACATAAAGGACAGGAGACTCTGAACCAGACAGGGCACCAATGCCAGCCTCTGCCTTTGCTGGCAAAGGCCTTACGCATCTGAATGTGAAATGGCCCAGACTCCATAGGCACCCCTAAGGCCATAGCTGACACTCTTTATCCCCATTGCTTCAGAATGGTCTGAGTAGGTTGCGGAGTCACGCTCTTCTTGGGGGAAATAAATGAAACCAGTCTTGATTTCAAAGTGTAATTGTTGGCTTTTTGTAAATAAACTTAGCTAATTAGTCAAAGCTCTAGAGGCTTTGTTCTTCTTTTTCTCCAATTTTACAATTATGGAAAACAAGAAACACAAGAAAAAGGAAGACCAGGAGGCAGAATACTGAGAGCAGTCCCAATCAATAGAGGACAGGCAAGCGCGTTGTGGCCAAGCAAAGCTGGTTCCTGAGCACGGCTGTGGTCCCACCCTGCTGTCTGCTCCTTCCCTGGTTCCTTAGCTTAACGCCCAGCCTCGGGAAGGCCTGTTGGGCATCAGCTCAGCTCCTAACCTGTAAGAGGCACTCTGGAGAACCAAAGTCATTTTGAACAAAAAATTTTAAATCATACCCTTTGCTTAAAATAAAAGCCTCAAGCATGAGTACAATGAATGAATCTGTTCATTAAATTACTTTTAAAACCAGTAGGAACAACAAAAAAAATTTTTTAAGTGTCCTGAGTCAAGGAAGCTAAAATCAGAAGGTAATCACATCACCATAGAGAGATAAAGGAAGCTAAGAAAAATGGGTCTCCTAGCAGGTACTAAGAATCAAAGTTTTCAGCTCTAGAGAAATCCCTCAGCTTTGAGCATTGAGTGGAATACTCCACACAGGGCTGGCCTATGTATTTCCCTAAACTACAAAGTGAAGGATGCCCCAGGGTTGTACACTGTATACCATTAATATGGTGATCCTGAAAGCATTCCTAGTGGCCTAGGACAGGCCTTCAGTCAAGTTTGAGGTACAACCCTACTTACACAGATGATGTGATTTCCCCTGCATTGCCAGCCACAATATCTGGTTTGGGTTCTGGCTTCTGGGGAGTAGCTGCCCGGCAGGGAGGATCTGGGGGCCTCACTGGGGGGCGGATGATGGTCGGCTTTTCTCCCGGAGGCCGCACTTTGCTGCAACTGTCACCATCCCCTGGAAGAGAAAATGATACCAGGAACTTGGATGGTTAGCCAAACAGAACACCACTCATGAGCGGGCAACCAATATGAGAGTTACCTGGGCCACTTTCCTTGGCCTCCATTTCTTCTTGGTGACTAACAACTCTTGCTTTTTTATTGTAATTTTTCTGGCAGCTGTCCCTTCAGAAAGTCTACATTTGAACCCCAGCACTAGAGCTTCAGATACCTTGGCTGTGTCATATCAATTCCCTAAGTCTCAGTTTCCCCAGCTATATAAAAAAGATCAACAATATATTATCTTACAGAGGTATGAGAGCATTAAATCAGGTACTAATACGTTTAGTGCAGGGCCAGGTACATAGTAGGTGCTTACTAAATGTCTGAGGATGATGAATGAATTTGAATTGCTTAAATTCATCGTCACTGAAATCCAGGTCCTTTTCACTTAGGCTTTGACTGTAACAGTTGTCTTCTAACTCACCTTCCTGCCTCTGTGTCTTTAGTTTCCTTGTCAGTTAGTACAAAATAAATATAAATACTTTTTAAATAAGATGGTTCTCGTAGGACTATAGTGAAACAGGTAAACTCACACATTGCTGGTGGCAATGTGAACTGGGCTTATTTTATCTAGAGGGCATCAAGTAATCTGGAACAACGTGGATAAAATATAAAATCATACATATGAGACAGTTCATACTTGTTGATCTAGTAATTCTGCTTTGGGGAACAGGCCCAAATGGAATAATCCAAAAGGCAAAAAAAAAAATAAAAAATAAAAAAACCTTAGGAAAAAGAAATTGGCACAAAAACATGCATCTAATCAGAAAAAAATCAGACCTAACCACAAAGGCTAAGCAAACAATTCAATTCATACAAGCATTTAACCAATACATATTATGTGTGAACTGCCAAAAATTTAGACCAGGTCAAAACAAAAACAGGCATACAAAATAATACCAAGTGAAAAAAAAGTTCACAAAAAGTGCTCATGGCCTAATGAAGACTATACTGAAATAGACATGTATGCAACTATGCAAAGGTATTAGTAGATCTTGATATTAATCCATTTATTTCTACAAAAATATTTACAGTAAATGTAAAGACATATTAAATTGAATTCATATAACACAATTATAAAATTTAAGTATTTTTACACTGGTTTTCTGCTCTTTAAAGATTTTCCCAACAGCTCTAAAATGTGGAAGACAAAAGTTTAAACTCCTTCACAGAAAATCAAGGCCCTCTATGAGCTGGTCCCATATTATTGTCCCAAGCACTAACCCTGGACTTTAACTATCAATTCTACTGTAGTCAAACTGGTCTGCCTACTGCCCCATTAAGGCAAACCCTTGACTCTTTCTTCTAAGTGAGACAGAGTCTAGAGTTGTGTAGACCTGGCTTTGGGAGCTTGTTCTGCTACTTCGAAGCTGTGGGACCCTAGACAGGTACTTCACCTCTATGACTATAAACTTCCTCATCTGGGAAATGAGTATGAAAACCACTCCTCACAAGGTGATTTTAAGGACTCAGTTAGATGGCCTCTAGACAATACCTTGCATACAGCAGAGGTAAGTAACTGTCAGACTCTGTCCTGCTTCTTGCCCTATATGTGTCTTATGTCTCGTGTATATTATAACCATTCCTCAAGACCCAGCTAAAATCTCAACCCTCTGAACACCCTAGTAGGTATATGTAATTTACATACATGTATATGTTCATGAAGTTCTTATATATTACCATGCACATTTTTAAAAAAATTCTTCCATCTAGCCATTCTGGTGAGCAAGATATATGTGTAAAGAAATAATGATAATACAGTGTGATCAGTGTTCTAATTAAGGAAGAGACAAAACACTATTCGTGTACACACATATAAATCACCTCTCCATTTAGTCTGTGTCTTACATTCTGGACATGTCATTCCCCTTAACACCAGGCTGGGTATACAGAATCATAGCAGAAAAAAAATAACCAAAATGATCATAATAATACAATTGTCCTTATGTACTTTATACGATTCAAAACACTCTCCCAGATGATAACCACTTAATGTTTATAATAAGCTTGAGAGAGATGAATAAATAGGTCTTTTTATCCCCATTTTATAGAGAAGGAAGCTGAGGTTCACAAAAGTGAACTGATTCACCCACAGCCAGAGGTTGGATACATGGTAGAGTGAGGACTGAAACCCATACCTCCTGTTTCCACATCCACTGCCTTTCTCAGTTGTTGGCTGTTTTGTTATCATTAGTAATATAAAATTAGAAATAATAATAATAATGGTAATACAATAGTACTGGCAAAAAGTTTTTTAGCTAACCTTTATTGAACAGCTGTTCTGTTCCAGGTACTGTGACACTGTACTCAGTGCTTTATGTACATTTTTCTCATTCAACATTGGCCATAATCTTGCCAGGTAGAAAGTATTATCTCCATTCTACAGTTGAGAAAACAGAAACTCGGAGATGAGAAGTAACCTCATAGTTGATCAGTCCATCTGATTTCTGAAACCTATGTAGTCCCAACCACCACTGTTTTTCAACCCCAGTGAAACATTAGAAATATGCAAGGAGCTTGAAAATTGTAAAGTACCTGGACCCCACCCTCATCCATCCTAGTTTAATTGATTAGGATGGACCCCGAGCATGGGTATTTTTAAAAGCTCCCCAAGTGATGCTATGTGCAGCCAAGATTGAGGACCACTAGGCCATATGATGTTGCTTCCTCACTACAGCCTACAGGGTACAAGAGCTGAGAGTGCTGTCCCATTTCCACTGGTTACTGCTGGGGGGCAGAGTTGGCAGGAGAGAAAGGTGGGAATTGTAAAGAAATGATATGTTGGACTGTCTGAGCCAGAAAACATGTCTACCTGAACCCATGCCCATTCCAGAGCTATCAATTTCCTTGATGAGTGAACCAGATGACATCCCTAATATATGAAGCCCATTCATTCCCAAGTGATAGCCACATCCTAATGAACATGAACCTAAAGCCTTGGAAAACAAACATCATTAACCTTGTGTCCTCTCCGGCCCTTTGTTGCTACCTCCAAATGATTATTCATTACAAGTTAAGCTTTGAGGTAGCAGCAAAGGATTTTCTTGGATGAAGACCTAAATGTTGTTCTCTCTTGCCTCTAATTTGTCTCAGTCACATTTAAGCCACAATGTCAAACTGATGAGGTAGAAAGGGTAGAGTCATATAACTAGTAGTCAAGAAACCTGGATTCTATGCTTAATACTACAACTTACTTTCTCTGTGACCTTCAGCAGATCATTTCCTTACCAGTATAACATGGGGATTGGACTGTTTTCCAGATGAATGAGTCACTGATCTAAGCCTATAAACCTGTATCTCTCCCTGCTGACTTTTATAGGCTGCTTTTGATGTACTCTACATGTACTTAACCTGCTGTAAACAAATTAATCCCTCTGTCTCCATCTCTGAAACCTAAATTGAAAGGTATTCAATATGGGGGTTTTGTGAGGGCTTTTGTGCCCAACCTTACACTCTCACCAAAAAAAATGGCACAGAAACGACCCCTGCCCTCTAAAAACTCAAAACTGAGTTGTGGAGAGAAGTCATACTCATGGGAAATAAGTGTGAATACTATAAATTGACATCCACTTAGAGGGCCAATCTTGGGTGCCAAAATAAGTGAATCAAGGGAGAGCTAACTGGGGTAGGATTGTCAGAAGGTTTCATGAACAGAATAAGACTTGAGCTAGATCTTGAGGTTAGTTCGCCTCTTCCTGGGTGTTTGGCATGGTAGGGACAGGTTGTGGGTTGAAAATATAACTCTGAATTCTTTTATGCTATCTACATTTTAGGCTTGAGGCTCCTCAAAGGGCCTCAAACACAGAAGAGTAGACATCCCGATCTTCCATGCCTGCCATTTCCTCAGAGGTTGTTACCTAGTAATACTACCACTTAAGCTTCTATTATTTTACCAGATTCTTTGAATACCTAATCTAATTTAAACTGTGGAAAATCCTTGCCTTCAATGGTGGTATTGTCTCCATTTACAGTTGAGAAAATTGGCTCAAAGAAGTAAAGCTGACCTAACCAAGATCAAGTAGCTAATAATAGTCTCCAATGAAAGTGAAACAACTGCTATTATTTATTGAGTACTCTTGATGTGCCAGGCATGTAGATGTCTCTTTGTTGTTATAGCAATCCTATGGGCACAAATGTTATCCTCATTATAGTGAGAAAACTAAGGTTCAGAGAGGTTGTAACCTGCCCAAGGTCTCACAGCTAGGAAGAGGCAGAGCCAGGATTCAAACAGACATCTGGAATATTCTGGAGCCTGAGCTTTTAACTACTAAGTCTTTTGAGTCTATGGTCTTTCCACCAAGCTCTACTTCCTTTTAATTTCTTTTCAACCTTGGTCCACAACCTGGCTTTTACTACAAACTTGATCTCCCTCTCGAGCCCAATCTGTTCCCTCTCTCTCTAATCTCTGTCAAATGACGATAACCAAAGAATCAACATGTACAGATTTCTTGGGACCTGATGGCCACCAGTATTCAACCTTAGCAACTTTCTTCCACCTTTCCTTATACTCATCTTTACCCAACCTGAAGGCACAGAGTAGGAGGAGGTTGTTTCCTTTTGTAGATTCCCCCAGTCTCCCAGAATTATCTCCTTTTTGCTATGACACTCTTCCACGCGCACCCTAAAGCCCTCCTGCTTCCTTAGCCATTATTTATCCTTGTAAAACAATTTGGAGTTAGGCTCCAAGAAAAGGAGAGAATAAAAACCAAACAGTAGATCATTAAAGCATAAGTCCAAACAAGAAAATGTGGATAATTGCCAGTAACACCCATTACTGTGAGAGCAAGTCTGTTCCTAATACTTTTAGAGCAGATGCAAATGCCACTCATAGCATTAGTCACCTCAGTGGAGAACTGATGGCTCTGTGACCAAGCAAGGCCTTACAAGCCCAAAAGCATGCAACCAATCTTTCCTCTCCAGCCAAGACAGAGGAAATGAGCTAAGAAGGGCCCCTCAACCCATATGTCATAAAGTCCCAGTCCATGGTGTGCTCTTCACTTTTATCTCAACACCTCAGGTAGAATGAAGGTCTCCTTGCTCCATGCTCCTACTAGAATTTTTTCTCGCCCCTTCTAGAATATGGTTCACATTGGGCTGGGACTGATTGTTTGCATGCCAGTGTCACCACAAACCTTTGGAAGACAGGGACAATGGCTTTTCATCTTTGTCTTTCCCTTTGCATAGGATTATGCCTGATTAAATAAACAAATGCATGTCAAGTAGATGGGCTACAGCCCTCCTCCCTCTTCATTCCCCAAAGGAAAGTCCTAAATCCCTTTGTGGAAGCTACATGCCTGCCTTTTGCAAAGCCAGGACACTTAAGAGGCAGTAAACTCAAATGAAGGTAGAAAAAAAATCGGCTTGTATAATTTTGTACCCCCCAAAAGTAAGTGGTCCTTAGAGAAACAGAAAGGAGAAGGCGGCCAAAGCAGCTGAAGAAATATGGTATAAAGAAAGAGTTCCAATCTTGAATCCAAGAAGCTGAGGTCAAGCCCCACGTCTGCACCATACAACCTACATAACGCTGAGCAAGTCGTTTTGTGTCTGTGAGTCTCTGTTTCTCCATCTATAAAAAGGGGAGGGTAAATCCTACCTCACAAGGCCTATCACAATGATTAGATGAAAGAGAAGAAGTAAAATTATCAAGCTCATGTCTGGAATAGAAAAGGACCCTTGATAAAATTCCATCAGCAAACAATACTGATTCTTATTTTAAAGTTGACTATCATGAAAAAAAAGCAATTTAACATGTACCATGCTTTCATTATTTTTAATTGCTGAGAAAAATGTGAAGAATGTTAATGCCACTCAACGGCAGGCAAAGTCTTAAACAACAGAGCTGAAATGGGATGACAACTGCAAGGTCCAGAGTGGGCTGGCTGAGGTGACAGTTTCCTCCCTCTGATACCGCCATTCAGGTTACTGGCTAGTACCAGGAGTAAACAACCATCAATTATAGCACAGGGTCAGAGCTGTGTTCAGCTTTTGCTTAATTGATAACTGTTCAGATGCCGGGGAATCTACTAGAAGCAGCCAGAATGAGGAAGGGAGCAAGGAGGAAGAAAGAAGTGAGTAGATAGTGTAGGTAAGGTTCAAAGAGGCAACTATATCAGAGATTTGGCGGGTTCTCCACCTAGGCCCAAACCATCTCAGTTCTGCTTTCTGTAGCCAAAGCTGGAAGCACAGGGCTTTGAAAAAAAGCTGCATCATGCCAGCCTGTTGCTAACTGATTGAAAGCAGAAAATGAAGACAGGCTAAGCTGAGGCCCAGATTTAGATAGGCTGATACTGAAACAAGTCAGATCAGAACTTACATTAACTGAGACCATTAGATCAGAGTAGCTGCCGCCAGCAGCCCAGGGCAGGACTGTGAAGGAAGGGGAAGAGGAGAATGCCACTGGGATTGAACTTTCCAGGAGGGAGGGAAGGAGGGCTGAGTTATTGTGTGCACTGAACTGATAGGATCTTGCCAATCTCAAGGCTTGGCAATAGACAAGACAAATTTTACTGTGATGAGTAAAAATTGAGTTACCCAACCTTCTATCCAGATAGATAGGAAGGTCACTACATGACTTACGAACGGAAGCAGAGGTCTACATTAAAGTTTGCCATTTCTTGGCTATGTCCCAGAAAAGCCAAATCACAGTGAGAAGAGGGAGAGGGGAGGGAAATAAATGTCCTATTTTGAATGCTGATGATGCACCAGATATTTTGTTATTCCTTTTAATCCTAGCAATAATAATTCTATCAGGTAAACTGTTTTCCCATTTTACAGACCTGGAAACCAAGGTGCAAACAGCTTAAATATATTAACTGTGATCACATGAGTGATCACATCAGCACCAGTGAATCAAACCAGAGCATTCAGAGTCAATTACTTGTGGCAATTGTACTGGACTTGTAAAAATTGTACTGGACCCCCACTCTCACATCCCCACATTAAATAGCTTTTCCTAAATTGTGCTCTGAGACAATGCCATTGGTCCAGACTGAGGCTGTTACCTGAAATAATCCATGGAGGAAAATTTTCCCTGGCCTCAAAAGCAGAAAAGTTATGGTTTACCTGAACAATTGGCTTGTTTTTACCTTAGGAATTTAGTTATATAACCATTGTGGCTGCTCCCTTTTTGTTTTCTCTAGAAAGTTTGGAACCAAATCTATGACACTGCTCCATTAAGTGTTTAAGGATACATGGCAAATTTTTTATATACTAACTCCATTCCCACCACTTCCTTGCTGTCCTACCTTCCCCCAACCTCCTGACCCCCATTCTGGGCCTCATGTGTTTTTTATCAGTACTCTAGAATCTAAGGTAAAGGCCAGCAAACTTTTTCTGTAAAATGTCAGTTAATATTTTGGGCTGTGCAGGCTGTAAAGTCTTTGTTGCTACTACTCAATTGCATCATTGTGGCATGAAAGCAGCCATAGACAATATGTAAATGAAGGGGTACATTTATGTTTATGGACAAAGTTTGAATTTCACATTTTTATGTCATGAAATATTATTCCTTTTTAATTCCAAACATTAATAAATGTAAAAAAGAATTCTTAGCTTACAAGCTACATAAAAAGAGGCAGTGCAGTGGACCCAATATGGTCCACAGGCCATAGTTTGTCCTGTTCTCAGCTAAACCTCAAGAGAACAGGGACCTCATAAGTCTTATTTATTCCTATGTCCTCAGCACATAGAACGGGGCCAGGTACATGGTAAGTACTCAATAAATATTTATCAAATAAATTATTCTTAACCATTTTTTAAGGTTTTACATTTTGCCATATTGTGAAATTCCTTAAAGCTACAAAGTAAAAGAGCTAGGAGTTAGATCCAAGCCTTTCTGATACTCAAATCCTTATTTTGTCCATTATTCCTTACTGTCTTCACAGAATTATGTCCCCTAAAACCCCCTATGGATTAGCTCCAATCTCTCAACATGAGTCTCTAAATGTAATAGTTAATTAAATTTTCTGAAATCAGCCACACCTTGAACTTGTAATAATTTCAAAAGTCCAGAGTTTTGCACAAGTTGTGCCCCTTTGTCCCTATTTCTCCCAAACTGGAAAGTGAGAATAAGAAAACAAGTGTTCACAGATTCAAAGCTTCTTATAGAAAGGTACAGTGATTGTTCTGCCTCAGTGGAAAAGACACAGACTTTGGTGCCTATGAGACATGCTAAGATTTAGATCCCAGCTCTGCCAGTTACTAGCTGTGAATCTTTGGCAAGTCACTTATCTACAGCAGCCTCCATTTCCTAATTTAAAAACAAAAACCAAAAAAGAAGAATAATATCTTCTTGGCCAGGTGAGGTGTCTCATGCCTGTGATCCCAGCACTTTGGAGGCCAAGGCAAGTGGATCACCTGAAGTCAGGAGTTTGAGACTAGCCTGGCTAACATGGCAAAACCCTGTCTCTACTAAAAATACAAAAAATAGCTGGGCATGATAGCGAGTGCCTATAGTCCCAGCTACTCGGGAGGCTGAGGCAGGGGAATTGCCTGAACCCAGGAGGCAGAGGTTGCGGTGAGCCGAGATTGCGCCATTGCACTCCAGCCTGGGTAACAAGAGCGAAACTCTGACTCAAAAAAAAAAAAATTAAGAATAATACATTCTTCACAGTGGGATTCTGAGAATAAGAAATAGTATATCATTTCGTAGGCAGGTGTTGAACAATGAGAACACATGGACTCAGGGAGAGGAGCATCACACACTGGGGGCAGTTGGGGGAGGGCTAGGGGAGGGACAGCAGGGGGTGGGGAGGGATAACATGGGAAGAAATGTCAGATATAGTCAAAGGGGGAATAGAGGCAGCAAACCACCTGATTATGTATGCACCTATGCAACAACCCTGCATGACCTGCACATGTACCCCAGAACCTAAAGTAAAATTAAAAATATATATAATGAAATATAACTTCTTGCTATGTTCTAAAAAAAAAAAAAAAGACATAGTATACCAGCAATTAGTACAGTGCCAGGCACATAGCACTTGGGATATAGAGGTAAACAAAACAGGTAAAAAATCCCTGCTCTCATAGACCTTACATTCTAGTGATTATTGTGACTGATTATTGTAATCCTGCCCACGGTTCCAGTATTAGTGGTAGTAAACTGGAACAGATTTCCACTTAAATATATCTCCGAACTCAGAAGGATCTGGAGGAAGGCAGCAGATCACACTGCCACGTGTGTACCTATGCAACAATCTTGCATGTTCTTCACATGTACCCCAAAACCTAAAATGCAATAAAATAAATAAATGGGGAAAAAAAAAAAGCAGCTAGGTTCAACTCTGGCTCCCATGGGATTCCCAAGCACTTACCCTCCTTGTAGTGGGCCAGGGGCCGGGGAGCTGGTCTCTTTATGTGGAAAGAGGGGGTCTTGGTGGGCCCAGAGCCTGGCATGGGTCCATTGGTGGCCTTTGGGGTAGTCTTGGTCCCGCCATCCTGTAGCCTAGACACCAACTTCCCCACATCCACCTCTGGACAGGGCTCCAACTTGCCATCCGAAATAGGCCTGCTTGGGGACTTCCTCCCAGGATCAGTTTCCCCACTCCTCTGAATAGGTAGTTTGGGGTGTTGTGGTGGCTTGAGGGGTTCTATGCTGCTGGTGATCATACCATTTGGTGTTTGACGTTGGATTTCATCTGAGAAAAGTTGGTGCAAAGAGGGAAGATTAATGATAATCTTTAAAACCTTTTCATTTTGATACATGCATACATACTTAATTTTGAAAATTTGTAGACATTTTCAAAGTAGTTGTATCACTGTGGCACAAACCAACTATCTCCCACAAAATTATTCTCTACCCTTTCCAGTTCATGTAAAGCCACAGATCCAATCCAAATAGGGAATTCAAGATCTGAGTATGATTTTTATCACCACAATTCAATAAGCCACAATAAACCAATAGGTTTTATTAAAGGAATATGCCATTCAAAAAGAGACTTAAAGTCCCCAATCAATGGCATATTGTATACTGTGCAAATGAAGACATCTTCAGTTAATTCTTAACCATTTCTCTGAAAAGTATTTTGTTAAGCTCTCTCAAATTTTAAGTTAATCAACATAACATACTTTAACTTCTTTCTCCAAGCCGGAAGGAAACCTCCAACTGTTCTCCCCCAGCTCTTGTGGTCTACAATTTCCTCCGACATTAGTACATGTTTTTCAGTGGTTCTGAGACTTACTTAAAGTTTTTGAGACCCTAATGAGACCCAGAGACCATCTCTCTAGAAAAATTAACCCACGCAAATATGGCAAAAATTTTGAAAACGAATTTTAAGTGATTCACAGAGCCTTCTGAAGCTGATAATAAACCCCAAATTGAGAATACCTGCTGTAAAGAAACTGTCACCTTCCACAGACATAAAAAACTTAGAGTGTAGTGGTTAAGAAGAGAGGTTCTGCCAGTAAATTGAAACCTGAGGTATATATCAACCAATTGCAATACATGGATCTTATTTAGATCCTGATTTTTTAAAAAACAATTAGATAATAGGAGAATGTGGATACTGACTGGATAGCTGATCCTAAGGAATCACTGTTTTGTTTTCTTTTAGGTATGATGATGATATTGTGGTTTTGCATTTAAAAGAGTTCCTTTCTTTTAGAGATATATGCTAAAACATTTACAAATGAAATGACATGATTAATAGGTTGGGGTTAGGGGTATAGATGAAATAAGACTGGGTATGTGTTTTTAAGTGCTGAAATGTGGGGAGTTCAATATGTTTGTTTTCAATTTCTGTTTACATTTAGAATTCTTCATAATAAAATGTTAAAAGAAATGCAGGCCCTGAAGCCAGGTGGCCAGGTCTGAATCTCGGCTTTGCTTCTTACCAGCTGTGAGACCTTGGATAAGTTCCCTATTCTCTCTGTACCTCAAATTTTCTCCTCAGTAAAATGGGAATAATAAAGAATACTGGTCTCATGAGGTTGTGGTAAGGGTCACAGGAGATGGCATACTTAATTCAGCGCCTGGCGCATAACAGACACTCATTAATTGGTGGTTATTATTTAAACTATTATGTGGTGGGTGGGCAGTGAGGCAAGAGTTTCCAAGAGGGAAGTCTTACTGCAAAGACTTTTGCCCCAAGACAGTTTTATTCTCCTTGGGAATCTGCCACTAGTCACTGATGCCACTGCCAAAGGGGCTGGAACCAAGGGGAATTCCCCTGCAGTCTCCCTAATTTCGTCCCAAAGTACACACATAGCCCTTTTTTATTAACCCTAGCGCAAGTGCAATCAGACAGAGGCCATCAAACAAAAAAATTAACCAAAGGCTCACAAATAATGGCATGAACATGAGCACAAGAGTGCCACGTAACTAGAGCCTCTGGCTTCCAGGACATGCCTTGTGACAGAGGCCATCTTTAAACATACAGCACTCTGGAGTAACTCAAGCACATCTATACTCTCCAAAGAATGTGCATGATGACATAAATTATTTCCCTCACGTGCTTTAGCCCAACATCTCAGCTGCATGTTCCTGTCTGAATATTTTCTTCTGGCTGAGAGACTTGATCTCTGCTTTCCCTTAGGGGAGACATCAAGAATTGCCTGTACCCTACAGGCCATAGAGTATTATCACCATCTCAAGAGGGCCAATTTTCATAAAGAGGATCCACATATACAGCCTTAGAGAGTTCGCTATCTTCCACATGGGAAAGTATCTTCTGCTGGCTTGGGAAAATAGGAAATGTAATGATAGAAGCCATGATGACTTTGGAGCTAGGCCTTTCAGCAGGGAAACTATTTCCAGGTTCTGGGGTACGGTGAATAAAAATAATGATAATAGTGACAATTATAGTAATAATGAGAATAATAGTGATAAAGATAACACACACCATTATTTGAGAACCTACACCAAGGCAGGCCCTATTCTAAATGCTTTACCTGGATTATCTCATATAATCCTCAAAACAGCTCTATAAAGTAGTACATGTTTATCAGCCCCATTTTACAGATAAGGAATCTAAGGCACACAGAGTGTCCATGTCACCAAGCTACTAAGTGGCAATGCCACGTTCCAAATCTTGAAGTCTGTTTCCAGAGTCCATACTTTTTCTGAAGACAGATCTCACCTCTGTCAGGTGATGAAAGTTCAGTGCCATCCCCTTCCCCAATCAGACATCCATTTCTATACGAAAACACACAGACGAGCCTCAGGAACTTCAAGGAACTGGCAGTGAATCAGGATCAGACAGGGAGGCCTCATAAATAGGCACAGGGCTAACCCTTAAAGTGGAGGCCTCTCTTCTGTGGGTGGGTAAGAGGTGGGGAGAAGCTTTGAGAGGATACACACTAGTCCACTAATAGAAATAAATCAATTATTATAATACACGTAGATTCATGCAAATAAGTGCTAGGAGTAAGACAGTACTAATACTGACTGGAAGGATTAGAGAGGGTCTTTAGAAAAGAGGCAACTTTTGATCTGGGCCTTGAAGAATTCCAAAAGATGGAGCAAAGTAGAAAGGGCATTCAAACAAAAAACTTGGAGGAGAGAAAGATTATAGTTTGCCTAAGAAAATATAATAAAAAGTTTGGTTTGGATTGAGCATAGGGACCAATTATAGATGAAAAAAGTGTGGGTAGCTGGAGGTGAATCTATTGTTGAAATAGATTGGGGCCTATTCATGAAGGCCATGAATGCCATGCTCAGGAATACCATGCTTATGTCTGATCCTGATTCACTCCCAGTTCTTTGAAGTTCCTGAGGCTCATCTATGTGTTTTCCTATAGAAATAGACAGCTGGTTAGGGAAAGGGGATGGCACTGAATTTTCATCACCCAACAGAGCAATGAACTCTCTCTTCATAAAGAGTATGTACTCTGCCTTTGAGTCACAGAAGACAATGATTTTGGGGAACAAGGGACTGGGGTTGGGGAAAAGTGGCATTATCAAATATGCATTTTTAAACATCCCTTTGGGCTCATTATGAAAAGTAGGTTGGACCAGAAAGACAAGTGGCAGAGAGCCCAGCTAGGGGACTGCTGATGAAAAGGATCCAAACTAGAGCTGCATCAGAAAAGGGAGACAGATTCAAGAGAGGTTAAAGAAGTGTAATAATCAGAGCTTAGTTATAGAGGTGTAATGGAGTCCATGGCGAGGGTGAAAGGAATCACTGACATACTATATACAAATGGAATAACAAATTTCAGAGTAAGATAATGAGATGCTACTGGCAAGTAGGATTGGTTCCTTCTCAGAACAGTGTTCAGACAGGTTACAGGATGTACAATATTATAATAAATAAATAAGCCTTGGGATAAGACAGATGGGTGCAAATTGTTCTGCCATTTAGTAGCTGTGTTAGTTGGGAAACTACTCATCATCTTTGAACTTCCATTGCATTCACTATAAAACAGAGTTCAACATACCTACCTCACATAGGAGTGTTGAACATTAAGTAAAATTATGATTCAGACCCACATAGAATGGCTAGAATAAATAAGACAGACTATACAAAATGTTGGCAAGGATGTGGAGAAACTGGAGCCTTCATTCATTGCTGGTGGAAGAGTAAAATGGTACAGCTGCTTTGGAAAACAGACTGGCAAGTCTTCAAACATTTTAATATAGACAGACCATATAACCTACAATTCCAGTCTTAGGTATATATCCAAGATAATTAAAAACAGACATCCAAACAAAATCCTGTGCATGAATGCTCACAGTAGCATTATTTATAATAACCAAAAAATGAATACAACCCAGGTGACCATCAACTGATCAATGGATAAATAAAATGTGCTACATCTATACAAAGGAATATTATTTGTCCATAAAAAAGAATGAAGTACTGATATATTATATAATGTGAATAAACCTTGACAATATTATGCTAAGAGTAAGAAGCCAACTACAGAAGTCCACATATTCTATGATTACATTTACATGAAATGTTCAGAATAAGCAAATCTGTAGAGGCGAAAAGTAGATCAGTAACTGTCAGAGGTTGGGGGAGGAGTACATTTAAAAGTATGGGGTTTCTGGGATGATGAAAATGTCCTGGAATAAGATGGTTGTACAAAATATACTAAAAACCATTAAATGTTTGTTTTAAAAGGCTGGATTTCATGGTATGTGAATTTTATCTCAGTTTTTTAAAAAGTTAAAAATACAAAATAAATGTCTAGACTGGGTAACCTCATTGGAGATCTTCTGGCCCAAAGGCCTCATCACCACAGAGGAACAAATTGAGGCCCAGAGAGGGGAAGTGACTAGCTGAAGTTATTCAGCTGGCTAGTAGCCAGGATTAAATTAGACCTTCTCTCTACTGACACCCAGTTCATTCATTTTTTGGACTCGTTTATTAAGGACTTACTATATGCTTGGTGCTGTGCTCGTGCTGTGGATTCGGTGTGAAAAAAAAACAAGTTTCTACTGGAATAGAGTTTATATTTGGGGAGACTATAAGTAAACAAATAAATCCATTCTGTAAAAATGAGACTATGGAACAACAGACAGGCATTCAATGTTCCCTTCTACTTTCTCCTGAATGCCAGCTCACCTCCTTTATGACAGAGTTGATCCCTTAAGCTAAGTGATAATCTCCATTCTCAGAATATTTACTGAATACATGATATATGTACCAGGAGTTGTTCTAGGGCCTGGTAATCAAATAGATTTTACATTCTA